TGGATTTTCAGGGTGAAGCGGCCGCCAGGTTCTCCGCCTGTCTTCAAGGCTCGTTACGTTGCTTGAGGCTTCAGTCAGCGACAGGGAGTTGACTACTTCCAGACCTTCTCCCCTACCCCGAAGATGACCACTCTTCGGGTACTGCTGCACGTTGCCGCTCAACGTGACTACGAGCTTCACTCTCTTGACTTCAGCACAGCCTTCTTACAGGGCAGCCTGCACGAGGAGATCTGGCTGCGCCGCCCACCTAGCTTCACTGGGTCGTTTCCTGCTGGTACCCAGTGGAGTCTCCGGCGGCCAGTCTACGGTCTCCGCCAGGCTCCTCGTGAGTGGCACGACACAGTGAGGACGACGCTTGCCGCTCTCGGGTTTGCTCCTTTGACTGCTGACCCGTCGCTGTTTCTGCGCACCGACACTTCGCTGCCGCCGTTCCACATCCTCGTGTACGTCGACAACTTGGTTTTTGCCACTGCTGACACTGAGGCACTAGCCCTTGTGAAGTCGGAGCTACAGAAGAGACACACGTGCACAGACCTGGGTGAGCTGCGCAGCTATCTTGGCTTGCAGATCACCCGGGACAGAGCACGGCGCACCATCACCTTGACTCAGTCACACATGGTGCAGCAGGTCCTTCAGCGCTTCGGCTTCCAGTTCTCCTCACCACAGTCCACTCCTCAGCCTACCGGTCACTCGCTCTCAATTCCACCTTCGGACGAGTCCGTAGAGCCGAGTGGCCCGTATCCAGAGCTTGTGGGCTGTCTCATGTACCTGATGACCTGCACGCGACCTGACCTTGCGTACCCTCTTAGCATCCTGGCTCGCTACGTTGCACCTGGGAGACACAGGCGAGAGCACTGGGAGGCTGCTAAGAGGGTGCTGCGCTACTTGTGCAGTACATCGGGCATGGGGCTGGTGCTTGGAGGACAGGGTCGAGTTGTCCTCACTGGACACTCAGACGCCTCTTGGGTTGACGACCTGGCTACACAGCGGTCGTCACAGGGTTACACCTTCAGCCTTGGCTCCGGCTCTGTTTCTTGGCGGTCTACCCGCTCATCTTCTGTTCTCAGCTCCAGTTGTGAGGCTGAGATCTACGCAGGAGCCATGGCTGCACAGGAGTTACGTTGGCTCACCTACCTGCTGACCGACTTGGGAGAGCGGCCTAGTTCTCCTCCAGTTCTGTACTTAGATAACAAGGCCGCTATCGCCTTGTGTCAGGAGCACAGACTGGAGCACAGAACGAAGCACATCGCTCTGCGTTACTTCCTCGCTCGAGAGCTGCAGCAGCGTGGTCAGCTTCGTCTTGCAACACAACTGATATATTCACCAAGGCACTTCTTTCTGGTGATCATTATCTGTACTGCTTTAGGCCTCGTGCCTACGTTTGCTCACTTGCTCACTGCGTGACCTTGCTTGTACTGTGATCTATATATATACCTGCATGCTTACTCTTGCTAGATATTGATCACTGTACTGTTTGCTCTCTTTTAGATAACTCTGTATATGAACTGGCCTTGTGGCCATTTGCTTGTGCTCAGAATGTGTGGTGACTTCGTGATCCACCCTGAGCTTGCTTTGCTTTTCTTGACTGGTCTTGTGACCACTGGTTCTCCCCCACTTTGCCTATGAGGGTGTGTCAAACTATAATGGTATTTATTGTGTAGGCTGTAGTGGGGTAGCCCATAAGGGGTACAACCCAAATTAGGGTTCATACATGTACTTGCTCTCTGTTCAATGCAACTCATTCCTGCTAGTTTCTAACAGCTGCCGTGCTGCCCACTCATCTTCAGCGTCCAGCAAGCCTTGTAGCTCGTTAAGCACGTTGTCGTTGAGTGATGAGCTAATATCTGCTTCGTCCAGGATGGGCGACTCCTGGCGCGCTTCACCTCGCGCCTGGCGTAGTTCGGCGTTTTCCACCCTCAGGCGCTCCAGTTCGCCAGACATAGTCTGCAAGTTGGCTTGCATCGCCCGAAAATCCTGCATGAAGCGGTTAAACTCAGCCTGATCCCTGTTTCTCAGGCTTCTCCTAACGGGCAGGGGGTTAACGGCGATTTTTATGACTTTGATGAAGGCGCAAACACTAGTAGTCGGAGCGAGATAATCGTATCTATCTCTCAGCCGACCGCTTTGCAGCCCACCAAGTCTATCGCACCCCTCCACGAAAACTAACCCAGAAACTGGTGGGTAACCAAGGAAAATAGCTCTGATACCAGGTGTTATGAGTTGTAAGAAGAAGAGTGCGCAGAATGCAATATCGCGGAAGTGATTATAACGACTCAGCAGATAATGAGGCCTAGGACACATATAGCGAAAGCTAGCTAGGCCGACGTTGCGGGACCGCGCAAGGATGGGGTCGGAAACCCGAAGGCGGCGCGAGGAACGTTCGGAAGGTGAGGCCGTCGGACCGAGCCCGAGTTCCGAAAATTGAGATTGTACGCGCACAGAGTGTCTAAGTAAGGAATTAGGCGAAATTCCTTACACTCGTCTCTTGCCCCAACCAACCTTCCCAATATAAGGGAACGTTCTTGGCCGGTGTCAAGTTCCCTGACACAAGGCTACTGACGGCTGCGATCGCTCCACATCATCCTCAATCGAATCGAGACCCTTCACAGCTTCGTGTCAGCCCGCCTGACACCGGCCAAGAACGTTCCCTAATTCCTCACTCTCGTCTCTTGCCCCAACCAACCTTCCCAATATAAGGACGTGGCCCCGACCGCCTCTGATCGACTCTGATCTGATCGGGGTGGATCTGATCGGGTTGCTTCTGATTACATTGCTCGCGCCGCCCGATCAGGGTTGATATTCCTAGAAAATTCATAGCGCTTGCCCCGCAAGCGTGTCAGCATTTCCTTAACATTTCGTCCCAATTTTGGCGAGAGTGAAGACAATTTTTTTCCCAATTTTGGCGAATTCATTGTTTCCAAGTAATAACGCAAATTACACTTTAAAGAGACACGTACCCGAAATCTTGACGAGCTTAACGAGAAATTGTAATATTTTCGCGAGCGTCGCTGAGATCCCCAATCCCATGCAATCAAGTGATTGTGGCTGATTGTGTGTGATTGTGATTGATTGGGGTGTTTGAGGCGGTTGATCGAGTTGGGGCGATCAAGTGATCGCGATCGATCAGCTGATTGCCCCTGATTGCCTGAAATTGGCCTAAGGGCTTCCTGGAAGTTGTTGATTGCCTCTGATCGGGGCGATCAGAGGCGGTCTGGGCCACGTCCTGACTCCTCACTCTCGTCTCTTGCCCCAACCAACCTTCCCAAGCAGCCCTCTAATGAATCAAAGCCAGATTTTCCGCGACCCATCAATTTCAGCCTCACGAACCTAGCCCTTGAATTCTTAGTGCCACCGAGAACGCCCTGCGGAGTCCCTATCATGTGCTAGCTGAGGACATAGTCGCTAAGTAAGACTTTGTGTCTTGCCCACGTCGCCCGCGTACAACCATTTCTCGACCCTCCCACCGATAACGCTTGCTAGAACCTGAGCCATTGTGGTGGTAGATTCTGTCGGGCGTTTATCAAGCATCCGGTGGGCGCGAGGTGGACGGGTTTTAGTAGCGGAAAGTGCGTAAAGGGTAAGGCGAGTAGCCCCAAGGCACGGACGGGAGCGATTCGCGATTTCGCGCGAGAGGCGGTCGGGTGTGAGCCGCATTCGACGGGCGTGGCCTGGACTGGGGGCTGCAGCGATTACGCGAGAGGCGCGGACGGGGAGTGAGCAGCGACGCGGCGTGGAGGCGCGGACTCGAAAGAGCAGCGATAACGCGGAGGTGCGTGGGGGATGCGAGCGAGAAAGTGCGAGAGAGTAAGCAGCGATATGCGAGGGGGTAAGCAGCGATATGCGAGGGGGTAAGCAGCGATATGCGAGGGGAGGCTGGATTAGCAGCAATAAGGAAAGGCTGGATTAGCAGCAATATGGAAAGGCTGGATTAGCAGCAATAAGGAAAGGCTGGATTAGCAGCAATAAGGAAAGGCTGGATTAGCAGCAATAAGGAAAGGCAGGATTAGCAGCAATAAGGAAAGGCTGGATTAGCAGCAATAAGGAAAGGCTGGATTAGCAGCGAGACGGCGGGGGGGAATAAGCAGCGAGACGGAGGGGGGGATTAGGAGCGGGGGGGGGGGGGGGGGGGGGGGGGGCGGGGTGGAGAGGAGGGGGTGGGGGATGGGATTAAGCAGCGAGACGGCAAAGGGGGGGGGGGGGGGGGGGGGGGTAGGCATCCTCCGGTGTTCTCTCCCCCTCCACCAGCTCGCAACTCCGCCCCCTGCACAGTGCGGCTTCCATGTCATATCTCCCACGCCCTCCCTTCCCCCTTGGAACGCATCTCTGCTCATCCTCAGAAAGCACCTCCTCAGAAAGCACCTCCTCAGAAAGCACCTCCTCCTCCCCCCCCCCTCCCCCCCTCAAATCGTACGCGTTTGAAATGTCTCCCTTGCATGTCTGTGTACTTCCGCCTCTGCCTCACTCCCTTCGTCTCCCTCTCCACTCTTTTCCTCCCCTCTCCCTTCCGCCTCTCCCCTCTCTCCCTAACTCCCATCTCTTCTCATCTCTGCCTAACAGCGTCTCTCTTCCCGTTCCCCTCTGCCTTAGTACCCTCTCCACCCTTTCCCCTCTCTGCGTTACTTCCAACTATACCCTTTCCCTTCTCCTCTTCCCCCGTTCTCTAACCTTTCCCCTCTCTGCCTTACTCCCTTCTCTCCCCTTTCTGTGTCTCTGCCTCACTCACTCTCCCTTATTTTCAGCTTTCCCATATTACCCCCTCTCCCGTATTCCCCCTATACCTCCATGCATGTTTACCTCATTCCCCACACTCCATATTCCCCACACTCCATATTCCCCACACTCCATATTCCCCACACTCCATATTCCCCACACTCCATATTCCCCACCCACTCCGCCCCCATCCATCCTTGTTTTCTCCCATCCTCGCTATTGTGACCCAGGCGAAGCGCATTCGTCCGCTCGTGCACGTGGCCAGCATGGGGTGTCAATGAGGGGCCGCAATGATGCACCACGCGCACGGCTCGCCGTGGGTCGCCATCTCCGCTAAGCGTCCGGGCCTCTGGCACCCCGCCGACACCGCCATGCCGCCTGCCAAGGCCGCCAGCCCTGGCGCCCGGTCGCTGTTACTGTCGCGCGCGCGCTGGCGGTGGCGGTGGCGGTGGGTGGGCGAGCGGTGGGCGTGTGGGGCGATGGCGGCGGTGCAGATGGGCGTCGCTCTGCTGCTGCTGGCCGTCGCCGCCTCCTCACTGCTCCTCCTCGGCTGCATCCGCCTCCCCAACCGCCAGGTCCCTCTCGCTCTCCCCTCCCCCGCCCTCCCCCATTTCCCCGCCCCTCCCAGCGAGCATTCAGCAAGTTGGTCGTCGCTCCCCTCCTCATTAGCCTCCTGCCGCCTGGAAGCCCCCCCCTCCCTTCCCCTCCCCTCCCCTCCCATCCCCTACCTCCCCGCGCCCTCTGCGCTGCCCTGGCCCCACCATCCCTGCCTCACCTCACCGCGCCAACTCCTGCATGTCCCCTCAATGTCTCGCTTCCCAACTTCCGCTTTCTCAAGCTGCACCTGCCGCTCCCTCCCAACGGCACCCCACGGCAGGCGGGGTGGAGTGTGGAGCTGCCGCATGAGCCGCACGACCCCAGCGCCAACTGCTCCTCCGCCAACCCCACTGTCGTCGTCAAGGCAAGCCCCCCCGCCCCATCTGCCTCGTGCCCCATCTGCCTCGTGCCCCATCTGCCTCGTGCCCCATCTGCCTCGTGCCCCATCTGCCTCGTGCCCCATCTGCCTCGTGCCCCATCTGCCTCGTGCCCCATCTGCCTCGTGCCCCATCTGCCTCGTGCCCCATCTGCCTCGTGCCCCATCTGCCTCGTGCCCCATCTGCCTCGTGCCCCATCTGCCTCGTGCCCCATCTGCCTCGTGCCCCATCTGCCTCGTGCCCCATCTGCCTCGTGCCCCATCTGCCTCGTGCCCTCCCCACTCGAATTTCTCCCACCATCTCCACCCTCTTGTTCTCGTGCTTCCCCCGTGTACCACCTTAACCCTCTCCACTCCCACCCCCTTTCCTCAGACGACTCTATGGTACTCAGACTGTCCCTTCCACCGGCCACCCGTCTCTCTTTCTCCCGGTGCTCCATGAACGAGTTCTTGCCCTCTTGCTCCCCCCATTATTCCCCCAAACCACCCCCCTCTCGCCCCACCTGTCCTCCACTTTCCGTTTGTCTCCCAACTTTCTCTTTCTCCGCTCTTCCCCCGTTCACACGAGCCAATGTTATTCAAGCCGCCCATTCCACCTGCCGCCACTGTTCCCTTTTTGCACCATGGACGCTTCAACCTCTCCCCCCACCGTTCCCCCCTCTCGCCTCCCCGCTTTTCCATTCAGACGAACCTATGGTACTCGGAACGTCCATTTCACCTGCCCCCGGTCTCCCCCCTGTGCACCGGAGACGCCTGCTTTAACTTCTTCCTGCCCATATTCCTTCTCTCCCCCCTCTGTCAGACGAACCTATGGTACTCGGACCGGGCGTTCCACGTACCACCAGTGTTCCCGCTGTGCACCATGGACGCCTGCTTCAACTTCTCGCGCTGCCCCTCGCCGCCTGCCCGCGAGCCCCTCGTGTACTCCTACTGGCCCGGGCCCAAGTACTTTGCCAGATTCAACACCACCAGGTGCTCATGCCATTCCGCCACCTGCTGGTTAGACATTGCTTTGTGCTGATTGGATACTTCCAGTCACTGTTTCTTTCAATCATCCCACTCTCAATTCCTTACTCCCACCTTCATTCTTTACTATGCTCACCATCATCATCCCACGCCCCACCCACCACCTGGCCTTGTCGTGCGGGGGGGGGGGGACAGGTGGCACACGGACGACCCGGGCAAGGCGTGCTTCTTCTTCGTCTTCATGTCCGCGGGGCATCCCCGCCACTTCAAGGACCTGCCCTTCTGGGGCGAGGACGGCCAGAACCACGTGCTGATAAGGTGAGGTGCTTATACGATAACATGTGCTTATCAGGTGAGGTGACATGTGCTTATCAGGTGAGGTGACATGTGCTTATCAGGTGACGTGACATGTGCTTATCAGGTGGCATGTCATGTTCGTAGATGGCAATATGTGCCTGAGGTGACACGTGACTAGAAGGTGTCATGTGCCTAGGTGTCATGTCCTTATAAGGTGACTTATGTAGTGACAGCGATGGTCTATAACGTGTGTGAACCATGTAGAATGAGTCAGTATGTTCTATTTTTCTATAATGAAGGTGAGTCAAGAAATCCTCATGTGCTTAAATCACTGCCCTTAATGGCCAAACACGAAACCATGTGCAGAGGAGGAGCGTCTCCATGCACCCTGCCTGCCCCTGTCTCACCATGCTTCCATGCACCCTGCCTGCCCCTGTCTCACCATGCTTCCATGCACCCTGCCTGCCCCTGTCTCACCATGCTTCCATGCACCCTGCCTGCCCCTGTCTCACCATGCTTCCATGCACCCTGCCTGCCCCTGTCTCACCATGCTTCCATGCACCCTGCCTGCCCCTGTCTCACCATGCTTCCATGCACCCTGCCTGCCCCTGTCTCACCATGCTTCCATGCACCCTGCCTGCCCCTGTCTCACCATGCTTCCATGCACCCTGCCTGCCCCTGTCTCACCATGCTTCCATGCACCCTGCCTGCCCCTGTCTCACCATGCTTCCATGCACCCTGCCTGCCCCTGTCTCACCATGCTTCCATGCACCCTGCCTGCCCCTGTCTCACCATGCTTCCATGCACCCTGCCTGCCCCTGTCTCACCATGCTTCCATGCACCCTGCCTGCCCCTGTCTCACCATGCTTCCATGCACCCTGCCTGCCCCTGTCTCACCATGCTTCCATGCACCCTGCCTGCCCCTGTCTCACCATGCTTCCATGCACCCTGCCTGCCCCTGTCTCACCATGCTTCCATGCACCCTGCCTGCCCCTGTCTCACCATGCTTCCATGCACCCTTCCTGCCCCTGTCTCACCATGCTTCCATGCACCCTACCTGCCCCTGTCTCACCATGCTTCCATGCACCCTGCCTGCCCCTGTCTCACCATGCTTCCATGCACCCTGCCTGCCCCTGTCTCACCATGCTTCCATGCACCCTGCCTGCCCCTGTCTCACCATGCTTCCATGCACCCTGCCTGCCCCTGTCTCACCATGCTTCCATGCACCCTGCCTGCCCCTGTCTCACCATGCTTCCATGCACCCTGCCTGCCCCTGTCTCACCATGCTTCCATGCACCCTGCCTGCCCCTGTCTCACCATGCTTCCATGCACCCTGCCTGCCCCTGTCTCACCATGCTTCCATGCACCCTGCCTGCCCCTGTCTCACCATGCTTCCATGCACCCTGCCTGCCCCTGTCTCACCATGCTTCCATGCACCCTGCCTGCCCCTGTCTCACCATGCTTCCATGCACCCTGCCTGCCCCTGTCTCACCATGCTTCCATGCACCCTGCCTGCCCCTGTCTCACCATGCTTCCATGCACCCTGCCTGCCCCTGTCTCACCATGCGTCCATGCACCCTGCCTGCCCCTGTCTCACCATGCTTCCATGCACCCTGCCTGCCCCTGTCTCACCATGCTTCCATGCACCCTGCCTGCCCCTGTCTCACCATGCTTCCATGCACCCTGCCTGCCCCTGTCTCACCATGCTTCCATGCACCCTTCCTGCCCCTGTCTCACCATGCTTCCATGCACCCTGCCTGCCCCTGTCTCACCATGCTTCCATGCACCCTGCCTGCCCCTGTCTCACCATGCTTCCATGCACCCTGCCTGCCCCTGTCTCACCATGCGTCCATGCACCCTGCCTGCCCCTGTCTCACCATGCTTCCATGCACCCTGCCTGCCCCTGTCTCACCATGCTTCCATGCACCCTGCCTGCCCCTGTCTCACCATGCTTCCATGCACCCTGCCTGCCCCTGTCTCACCATGCTTCCATGCACCCTGCCTGCCCCTGTCTCACCATGCTTCCATGCACCCTGCCTGCCCCTGTCTCACCATGCTTCCATGCACCCTGCCTGCCCCTGTCTCACCATGCTTCCATGCACCCTGCCTGCCCCTGTCTCACCATGCTTCCATGCACCCTGCCTGCCCCTGTCTCACCATGCTTCCATGCACCCTGCCTGCCCCTGTCTCACCATGCTTCCATGCACCCTGCCTGCCCCTGTCTCACCATGCTTCCATGCACCCTGCCTGCCCCTGTCTCACCATGCTTCCATGCACCCTGCCTGCCCCTGTCTCACCATGCTTCCATGCACCCTGCCTGCCCCTGTCTCACCATGCTTCCATGCACCCTGCCTGCCCCTGTCTCACCATGCTTCCATGCACCCTGCCTGCCCCTGTCTCACCATGCTTCCATGCACCCTGCCTGCCCCTGTCTCACCATGCTTTCATGCACCCTGCCTGCCCCTGTCTCACCATGCGTCCATGCACCCTGCCTGCCCCTGTCTCACCATGCTTCCATGCACCCTGCCTGCCCCTGTCTCACCATGCTTCCATGCACCCTGCCTACCCCTGTCTCACCATGCTTCCATGCACCCTGCCTGCCCCTGTCTCACCATGCTTCCATGCACCCTTCCTGCCCCTGTCTCACCATGCTTCCATGCACCCTGCCTGCCCCTGTCTCACCATGCTTCCATGCACCCTGCCTGCCCCTGTCTCACCATGCTTCCATGCACCCTGCCTGCCCCTGTCTCACCATGCTTCCATGCACCCTGCCTGCCCCTGTCTCACCATGCTTCCATGCACCCTGCCTGCCCCTGTCTCACCATGCTTCCATGCACCCTGCCTGCCCCTGTCTCACCATGCTTCCATGCACCCTGCCTGCCCCTGTCTCACCATGCTTCCATGCACCCTGCCTGCCCCTGTCTCACCATGCTTCCATGCACCCTGCCTGCCCCTGTCTCACCATGCTTCCATGCACCCTGCCTGCCCCTGTCTCACCATGCGTCCATGCACCCTGCCTGCCCCTGTCTCACCATGCTTCCATGCACCCTGCCTGCCCCTGTCTCACCATGCTTCCATGCACCCTGCCTGCCCCTGTCTCACCATGCTTCCATGCACCCTGCCTGCCCCTGTCTCACCATGCTTCCATGCACCCTTCCTGCCCCTGTCTCACCATGCTTCCATGCACCCTGCCTGCCCCTGTCTCACCATGCTTCCATGCACCCTGCCTGCCCCTGTCTCACCATGCTTCCATGCACCCTGCCTGCCCCTGTCTCACCATGCTTCCATGCACCCTGCCTGCCCCTGTCTCACCATGCGTCCATGCACCCTGCCTGCCCCTGTCTCACCATGCTTCCATGCACCCTGCCTGCCCCTGTCTCACCATGCTTCCATGCACCCTGCCTGCCCCTGTCTCACCATGCTTCCATGCACCCTGCCTGCCCCTGTCTCACCATGCTTCCATGCACCCTGCCTGCCCCTGTCTCACCATGCTTCCATGCACCCTGCCTGCCCCTGTCTCACCATGCTTCCATGCACCCTGCCTGCCCCTGTCTCACCATGCTTCCATGCACCCTGCCTGCCCCTGTCTCACCATGCTTCCATGCACCCTGCCTGCCCCTGTCTCACCATGCTTCCATGCACCCTGCCTGCCCCTGTCTCACCATGCTTCCATGCACCCTGCCTGCCCCTGTCTCACCATGCTTCCATGCACCCTGCCTGCCCCTGTCTCACCATGCTTCCATGCACCCTGCCTGCCCCTGTCTCACCATGCTTCCATGCACCCTGCCTGCCCCTGTCTCACCATGCTTCCATGCACCCTGCCTGCCCCTGTCTCACCATGCTTCCATGCACCCTGCCTGCCCCTGTCTCACCATGCTTCCATGCACCCTGCCTGCCCCTGTCTCACCATGCTTCCATGCACCCTGCCTGCCCCTGTCTCACCATGCTTCCATGCACCCTGCCTGCCCCTGTCTCACCATGCTTCCATGCACCCTGCCTGCCCCTGTCTCACCATGCTTCCATGCACCCTGCCTGCCCCTGTCTCACCATGCTTCCATGCACCCTGCCTGCCCCTGTCTCACCATGCGTCCATGCACCCTGCCTGCCCCTGTCTCACCATGCGTCCATGCACCCTGTACGCCTCATGCCTACCCACCTTCTTCCCCACCCAATGCCCTCCTTCCGCCCTGCACGGCAAGGCAGCTTTGCGGACAACTGGAGTGGCCCACCGGCGTGGAGTGTGGGCAAAGCAAAGCTGATGCTCACAGCCGCGCACCTCACAGTGCACCGCGCGCTCTTCGACGTCTCCCTGCCGCTGCCGCCCACCTGGAAGCGCCACGCCGCCGACCTGCGGCCGGTGCCGGTGGGTGGGCGGCGGTACCTGCTGACGTTCATGGGCACGCGCTACCTGGGCTCCATGCACGGCAGCTTCCGCAGCTCGGCGGAGTTCAAGGCGCTGCACAACGGCCACGACATCATCGTTGTCACCCAGTGCGGGTCAGTGCTAACCTGCCTGGGCAGTAACGCCCACTCCCATGCCATACTCAATGCTGGTGCTCGCCCCGCTGCAAGGGCGTGCATAGTGGCAGGGACAGCATGGTTGGCAGGCAACAGGTCATCGCTGAAGCTGTTGTCACAATATGAATATCCCACCTCGTGTCTCGTGCCAGCCACTCCTATCCCGCCCCACCCACATGCGTCTGCGCTCTCGACTCGTTCAAAACTCCTCCCTCCCCTCTCCCCGCACACTCGAGCTGAACGCCCACGAACCGCCGGACAATTGAGGAGGACCCATGGCTGCTGCCAAGAGTTGTTTGATGTGCCTAACAAGTCAGATCACCTGCTTCACTCACCCCCCCACGCCCTCATTCAATCAGAGGGTCCACGAACAGGAGGATAATCGAGGAGGACCCGTCGCTGCTGCCGGAGTGCACGGCGGATTTGGCGTTGTTCCGCACCTACTCGTACCCCGCCCTCATGAACTCCTCCTTCGCCCTCGTCCCCGCCGGCCGCCAGGCCTCCACCTACCGCTTCATTGAGGTGCGTGCCTCCACCTACCGCTTCATTGAGGTGCGTGCCTCCACCTACCGCTTCATTGAGGTGCGTGCCTCCACCTACCGCTTCATTGAGGTGCGTGCCTCCACCTACCGCTTCATTGAGGTGCGTGCCTCCACCTACCGCTTCATTGAGGTGCGTGCCTCCACCTACCGCTTCATTGAGGTGCGTGCCTCCACCTACCGCTTCATTGAGGTGCGTGCCTCCACCTACCGCTTCATTGAGGTGCGTGCCTCCACCTACCGCTTCATTGAGGTGCGTGCCTCCACCTACCGCTTCATTGAGGTGCGTGCCTCCACCTACCGCTTCATTGAGGTTCGTGCATCCACCTACCGCTTCATTGAGGTGCGTGCCTCCACCTACCGCTTCATTGAGGTGCGTGCCTCCACCTACCGCTTCATTGAGGTGCGTGCCTCCACCTACCGCTTCATTGAGGTGCGTGCCTCCACCTACCGCTTCATTGAGGTGCGTGCCTCCACCTACCGCTTCATTGAGGTGCGTGCCTCCACCTACCGCTTCATTGAGGTGCGTGCCTCCACCTACCGCTTCATTGAGGTGCGTGCCTCCACCTACCGCTTCATTGAGGTGCGTGCCTCCACCTACCGCTTCATTGAGGTATGTGCCTCCACCTACCGCTTCATTGAGGTGCGTGCCTCCACCTACCGCTTCATTGAGGTTCGTGCATCCACCTACCGCTTCATTGAGGTGCGTGCCTCCACCTACCGCTTCATTGAGGTGCGTGCCTCCACCTACCGCTTCATTGAGGTGCGTGCCTCCACCTACCGCTTCATTGAGGTGCGTGCCTCCACCTACCGCTTCATTGAGGTGCGTGCCTCCACCTACCGCTTCATTGAGGTGCGTGCCTCCACCTACCGCTTCATTGAGGTGCGTGCCTCCACCTACCGCTTCATTGAGGTGCGTGCCTCCACCTACCGCTTCATTGAGGTGCGTGCCTCCACCTACCGCTTCATTGAGGTGCGTGCCTCCACCTACCGCTTCATTGAGGTGCGTGCCTCCACCTACCGCTTCATTGAGGTGCGTGCCTCCGCCTACCGCTTCATTGAGGTTCGTGCCTCCACCTACCGCTTCATCGAGGTGCGTGCCTCCACCTACCGCTTCATTGAGGTGCGTGCCTCCACCTACCGCTTCATTGAGGTGCGTGCCTCCACCTACCGCTTCATTGAGGTGCGTGCCTCCACCTACCGCTTCATTGAGGTGCGTGCCTCCACCTACCGCTTCATTGAGGTGCGTGCCTCCACCTACCGCTTCATTGAGGTGCGTGCCTCCACCTACCGCTTCATTGAGGTGCGTGCCTCCACCTACCGCTTCATTGAGGTGCGTGCCTCCACCTACCGCTTCATTGAGGTGCGTGCCTCCACCTACCGCTTCATTGAGGTGCGTGCCTCCACCTACCGCTTCATTGAGGTGCGTGCCTCCACCTACCGCTTCATTGAGGTGCGTGCCTCCACCTACCGCTTCATTGAGGTGCGTGCCTCCACCTACCGCTTCATTGAGGTGCGTGCCTCCACCTACCGCTTCATTGAGGTGCGTGCCTCCACCTACCGCTTCATTGAGGTGCGTGCCTCCACCTACCGCTTCATTGAGGTGCGTGCCTCCACCTACCGCTTCATTGAGGTGCGTGCCTCCACCTACCGCTTCATTGAGGTGCGTGCCTCCACCTACCGCTTCATTGAGGTGCGTGCCTCCACCTACCGCTTCATTGAGGTGCGTGCCTCCACCTACCGCTTCATTGAGGTGCGTGCCTCCACCTACCGCTTCATTGAGGTGCGTGCCTCCACCTACCGCTTCATTGAGGTGCGTGCCTCCACCTACTGCTTCATTGAGGTACTGCTTCATTGAGGTGCGTGCCTCCACCTACCGCTTCATTGAGGTGCGTGCCTCCACCTACCGCTTCATTGAGGTGCGTGCCTCCACCTACCGCTTCATTGAGGTGCGTGCCTCCACCTACCGCTTCATTGAGGTGCGTGCCTCCACCTACCGCTTCATTGAGGTGCGTGCCTCCACCTACCGCTTCATTGAGGTGCGTGCCTCCACCTACCGCTTCATTGAGGTGCGTGCCTCCACCTACCGCTTCATTGAGGTGCGTGCCTCCACCTACCGCTTCATTGAGGTGCGTGCCTCCACCTACCGCTTCATTGAGGTGCGTGCCTCCACCTACCGCTTCATTGAGGTGCGTGCCTCCACCTACCGCTTCATTGAGGTGCGTGCCTCCACCTACCGCTTCATTGAGGTGCGTGCCTCCACCTACCGCTTCATTGAGGTGCGTGCCTCCACCTACCGCTTCATTGAGGTGCGTGCCTCCACCTACCGCTTCATTGAGGTGCGTGCCTCCACCTACCGCTTCATTGAGGTGCGTGCCTCCACCTACCGCTTCATTGAGGTGCGTGCCTCCACCTACCGCTTCATTGAGGTTCGTGCCTCCACCTACCACGTCATTGAGGTGCGTGCCTCCACCTACCGCTTCATTGAGGTGCGTGCCTCCACCTACCGCTTCATTGAGGTTCGTGCCTCCACCTACCGCTTCATCGAGGTTCGTGCCTCCACCTACCGCTTCATTGAGGTGCGTGCCTCCACCTACCGCTTCATTGAGGTGCGTGCCTCCACCTACCGCTTCATTGAGGTGCGTGCCTCCACCTACCGCTTCATTGAGGTGCGTGCCTCCACCTACCGCTTCATTGAGGTGCGTGCCTCCACCTACCGCTTCATTGAGGTGCGTGCCTCCACCTACCGCTTCATTGAGGTGCGTGCCTCCACCTACCGCTTCATTGAGGTGCGTGCCTCCACCTACCGCTTCATTGAGGTGCGTGCCTCCACCTACCGCTTCATTGAGGTGCGTGCCTCCACCTACCGCTTCATTGAGGTGCGTGCCTCCACCTACCGCTTCATTGAGGTGCGTGCCTCCACCTACCGCTTCATTGAGGTGCGTGCCTCCACCTACCGCTTCATTGAGGTGCGTGCCTCCACCTACCGCTTCATTGAGGTGCGTGCCTCCACCTACCGCTTCATTGAGGTGCGTGCCTCCACCTACCGCTTCATTGAGGTGCGTGCCTCCACCTACCGCTTCATTGAGGTGCGTGCCTCCACCTACCGCTTCATTGAGGTGCGTGCCTCCACCTACCGCTTCATTGAGGTGCGTGCCTCCACCTACCGCTTCATTGAGGTGCGTGCCTCCACCTACCGCTTCATTGAGGTTCGTGTCTCCACCTACCGCTTCATTGAGGTGCGTGCCTCCACCTACCGCTTCATTGAGGTGCGTGCCTCCACCTACCGCTTCATTGAGGTGCGTGCCTCCACCTACCGCTTCATTGAGGTTCGTGCCTCCACCTACCGCTTCATCGAGGTTCGTGCCTCCACCTACCGCTTCATTGAGGTGCGTGCCTCCACCTACCGCTTCATTGAGGTGCGTGCCTCCACCTACCGCTTCATTGAGGTGCGTGCCTCCACCTACCGCTTCATTGAGGTGCGTGCCTCCACCTACCGCTTCATTGAGGTGCGTGCCTCCACCTACCGCTTCATTGAGGTGCGTGCCTCCACCTACCGCTTCATTGAGGTGCGTGCCTCCACCTACCGCTTCATTGAGGTGCGTGCCTCCACCTACCGCTTCATTGAGGTGCGTGCCTCCACCTACCGCTTCATTGAGGTGCGTGCCTCCACCTACCGCTTCATTGAGGTGCGTGCCTCCACCTACCGCTTCATTGAGGTGCGTGCCTCCACCTACCGCTTCATTGAGGTGCGTGCCTCCACCTACCGCTTCATTGAGGTGCGTGCCTCCACCTACCGCTTCATTGAGGTGCGTGCCTCCACCTACCGCTTCATTGAGGTTCGTGCCACCACCTACCGCTTCATTGAGGTGCGTGCCTCCACCTACCGCTTCATTGAGGTGCGTGCCTCCACCTACCGCTTCATTGAGGTTCGTGTCTCCACTGAGGTGCGTGCCTCCATCTACCGCTTCATTGAGGTTCGTGCCTCCACCTACCTCTTCATCGAGGTTCGTGCCTCCACCTACCACTTCATCGAGGTTCGTGCCTCCACCTACCGCTTCATTGAGGTGCGTGCCTCCACCTACCGCTTCATTGAGGTGCGTGCCTCCACCTACCGCTTCATTGAGGTGCGTGCCTCCACCTACCGCTTCATTGAGGTGCGTGCCTCCACCTACCGCTTCATTGAGGTGCGTGCCTCCACCTACCGCTTCATTGAGGTGCGTGCCTCCACCTACCGCTTCATTGAGGTGCGTGCCTCCACCTACCGCTTCATTGAGGTGCGTGCCTCCACCTACCGCTTCATTGAGGTGCGTGCCTCCACCTACCGCTTCATTGAGGTTCGTGCCTCCACCTACCGCTTCATCGAGGTTCGTGCCTCCACCTACCGCTTCATTGAGGTGCGTGCCTCCACCTACCGCTTCATTGAGGTGCGTGCCTCCACCTACCGCTTCATTGAGGTGCGTGCCTCCACCTACCGCTTCATTGAGGTGCGTGCCTCCACCTACCGCTTCATTGAGGTGCGTGCCTCCACCTACCGCTTCATTGAGGTGCGTGCCTCCACCTACCGCTTCATCGAGGTGCGTGCCTCCACCTACCGCTTCATTGAGGTGCGTGCCTCCACCTACCGCTTCATTGAGGTGCGTGCCTCCACCTACCGCTTCATTGAGGTGCGTGCCTCCACCTACCGCTTCATTGAGGTGCGTGCCTCCACCTACCGCTTCATTGAGGTGCGTGCCTCCACCTACCGCTTCATTGAGGTGCGTGCCTCCACCTACCGCTTCATTGAGGTGCGTGCCTCCACCTACCGCTTCATTGAGGTGCGTGCCTCCACCTACCGCTTCATTGAGGTGCGTGCCTCCACCTACCGCTTCATTGAGGTGCGTGCCTCCACCTACCGCTTCATTGAGGTGCGTGCCTCCACCTACCGCTTCATTGAGGTGCGTGCCTCCACCTACCGCTTCATTGAGGTGCGTGCCTCCACCT